ACTGAAGCAGGCTGGGAAGGCAGGCCCCGCTAGGTCTAGGTTTTGACATTTCCAGAAGGCAAAGGCTCTTCAGGGGCCTGTCACCAGTCTTCACAGACAGGCTTCACCTGCCACCTCAAGAAAGCCCAGTAGTTACGAGAAATAGATGAAAGGAGTACTTAACACAGGTTAAGCTTTTCTCTTATACAAACTAAGCTTTTTTTTTTTTTTAAATAGTGCATATAGCTGAGTGTCTTTCTAGTATCTTCTTAGTGTCACCTTTGCTAAAAGCTTATTTTAAGCCGCCCTGTAACATCCTCACCTTCTCTGTGAGCGTCAGCACCAGAGCCAATGGGCTGCATTTCCTGGAAACTTGACTGTCGTTTTAGAGGCTCTTCAACTGAATATACGTTGTCCTCCAGTTTGGCCAGAACTTCCACACCTGTTCTGTTTCCCTTGTAAACTCTTTAACGTCTAAACTGGCAAGTTGACAAGGTTTGCCAAATGTGCTTTTAGACAGTCTCACCTCCTGACCCCCCTCCTCTGGCAGTCTTGGGGGATGGCTCTGTTTCCCAGCATGGCAGGCAGAGGGCTGTATTTTAATCGGCCCGGCCTTTGCTGTCAGTGACCACCAGGCTGATTTTCATGCATTTCCCTAAGTCCTCTTTATCACCCATTCCAACCTGGAATATATTGAAAAATTACCAGATTAAGCTAGTGTTGTGTCCATTAGCATGTTTTCTGGGCTGCTTCATATTTTGTGTATGAAGGTGACTCCCAATGGAACTGCTGCCATTTTGGTGTTCAAAAAAGACGTAGCTCTCTAACCCAGGACCCACGAAAATGCTGTTTTTTTTCCTGGAGTGACACCAGCTGCAAAAGCCTTGGTGGATGCTGGCAGATGCTTGTGGCTCACAGTGAATCGGGCGTCCAGCAGACCCCTCTGGGGCGAAGCAGAGAGAGGGGCAGGCAGCGTTCTGTGCCCTCTACTTGGGGGTGGAAATGTTGACACTCTGAAAAACACACCTGTGCTCTGAATTCCACCCGAGGCCTCCCTGTCCGATTGAGTGAACATCCATTCATTTCCTTTTCTAACCTAAATGTCCATATTGAGTCCCCAGTTTGCCCCAGGGGTTGTGAATTTGACTTAAATTATCCTTATGTTTAAAGAGTAG